ATAAAATTGAGGTAATATATACATTCTCTTTTTTAAACGAGGAAGAATGAATCATGTATAAATATTATTGTATTATCTGTTTAGAAAGTTTCCATTAAGAAAACAAAAGCTCCGAAGGTAAAGCAACAAGGATGAAAAGTGAAATCTATTTCAGTAATACCGTTCTCTTTTCTATTGCATTTCTGATCTGTCTCGCCGTCGAAGTCTATGTTTTATCGACAATTGCTTTAAGATACATTATTAGAAGGGGAAGCAAAAAAACTTGTTGCTTTATATTTAAATCTGTTTTAGAACGGTGTCGGTTTACAATTGGAAGTTATTTTTGACTTTGGTCCGATTTTTTTTAAATGACAAAAAAAGCTTGAGTCGACACCTATGTATAGAGACTACAATCTGGGATTTATATTATTTTAATTTTATACATAAATATATTTTTATATTTCTTAAATAAATGAAACACCATCGGTATATTAAAATAAATTTATGTCAGTACAGTTCAAAACCAATTGTCTAATTGAATTTAATGGTTTAAGCTCATTCGAACGAACGGTCCAAACGGGTATTCATAAAGTGTGTACGGATCAACAAACTCTCCTCGGAAAACGTTAGTTTACACTTTGTACATAGATAATAAAAATAAAACATGACTTGCCATCTCTGGTTATAAATAAAATGCTATATGATTGTTCTTACGAAAACATTTGTAATTTAAATAACTTGGTAGTTCACTTCGAGCAGTCTGCGTCGTGAATCGTGATATATTCAAATGTACTATAGTCTATTATTATTTGTATCAAAATTCTATTAAAGCAACGTTTTAAAAATACTTATACCAATGATAAACTACAATTAGAAGTCACTGAGACAAATATTTGAGACGGCTGAGATTATTTTTATCTCAGATCGTATAATTGGAGGCAGATAGATGGCTGCTTTGTAATAAGTCATCACAGAAAAGGCTTTATACAGTGTAACACGCAGACCAAACGTGAGTTTGGGCATTGAGAACGAACTACGATAATATATGTTTGAACACTCACGTCCAACAACAATTATATTATGTTTTTCTAAGAATTATGCTGTACAAAATGCGCATATAATAAAAATATAAAAAACTTTATTGCTTAATCGTTTTGCTCATCCAACACCAGCTTTGTCTGCGAGGATATTTATTATACAATCAAAAACAAGCCAACATATCCGAGCTTATGACTCACTGCTTAGGCTAGTTTTATTACACGAGTATTTTTTTATATATCTTTATTAATAAAATTGTAAAAAAATAAAGTTGTGAAACCAGTGCCAATAGTATACGTGATATTTAAGAACAAGATGGAAGTCTATAGAAAGACGTGCATTAATATCGCATCGATAATAATCAAGTTGAGCCCATACATTCATCGCGTGATTGAATGACATTAAAGGTACTCGACACAGGAACGTTTGAAGAAATTATCAATAGATGTTTCTGTAACATGCATTTCTCATTGTATATAATATGACGAATTTCGTGTACACAGATGGTATGACAATGAGGACCACACGTCAGACGGCTGTTTGTTTCAGGACAATGGTAGACATGTATGGTATTCGTGATGATTTGCAAACAGGGCTGTGCGCAGTTTGCCGCTGTTTCAATATTGGATTTGAACTTAAGATGGCGGTATTGACGGGCGAAAGCACCGTTGGTAATATATGATTATAATGCGTTGTCAAATAAGCGAGCGTTATGTTAAAAATAATAAAAATAGTTCTACTAGTGACTATAAATAAATTTATGTATAATAAAATAATATATAATTGCTTCTGTTTCAACGCTCTCTTTCTATAATTGTACAATCAATTTGGGACTCTCCTAAGGGCTTCTCTGACTTTCATTACGGCTGTGATTTGGAATATACATATATATATTATATATATTTATATATAGTTGGTTTTTATTTAGAAAATAGGAAAAAATGAGGTAATGATATCGAATATGGTATTGTTAATACATATTAGTTTCAAGACGATCGAGTTTCGAACGAGCAAAAAACGCCGACCCACTGATCTACTCGGTAAGTTTCCAAAAGATAAAATTTACAACGGTAACATACCGCTGATTACTTTTCGCCGAATTAGCGGCTCTTTTTACCGTTTTTGAGTCATCTCTAAATGGTACGTAACGATTAAACAGTCAAGTGACTGTAAACTCATAGCCCGACAAAACATATTAGGATCGAGGGAACAAATGAATCATACTAGCACATTGTATGAAAACAAAAGGGTTGCCAAAATAGATTATTCAGTTCACTGACATTTAAATAGGCTAGTAGGTACCTGTTATCGTAAATGGCACTCTTTATGAATGATCACAATCATTATATAACAAAAACAAAAGGTTCTTTTACATCAATTAAATCTTAAAGTTTATAACGGTTCGAATGTCCATCTGTCTAGAGATAGCTAGGTGAATATGTATACTGTATACTCATTTATATATTTTAAACAAAGCCAAAACGACAAGACAAAGACCATTTTAAAGTATTTTCATTTCTCATGTTCCCATCTTTCTTTCACGTTCGCATTTGTTCGTAACTTAATAAAAGAGTCCTTCTGTTATTATATTAAGGCTCAGTTCGACTAAAATCGGCAAAAAGTATTACATCCTTTAGGAGAAAGTTGTTAGTTCAACAAAACGACAAACAACTTTTTCTATTAAGTTATTAGGAAAGTAAAAACGGTATTATAAATACATTAACAGTATAGATATCTAACAATTTAATGAAATAACATGGCAGCATGTGCCAAAAAGACACTTCAAAGTACCAAATATTAATTTCAAGTATATCATGAATCAAATAAATGTAGGTCATCTGCTTTAAACGTTGTGATCGTTCAATTAACACTGGAATTACTATGGGAACATATAGGTATTACTCACAGAATACATAAAAGAGACGTTAAACAGATTGGCCTATTGATACATTTACCGTTTATTGTTTATTTAAGTACAAAACTGTAATTTTCACGAACTAACTGCTATTAGGTGTGACATTAATGGATAACTCTCAAAAATTCGTTAAATACATATATTGTGGCTAAATGACGTACGATATTTCTTTATCGTGCCCGGCCTTTAGTTTTGATAGCGATATTTCGCATCACTAGTTTTATTTGAATTTGATTGTTTCATATCTTATCAAAACATGAGGCAAGCTAACCTTCAAATTAAATAATGGTCAAATGTCAAGACAACTTTATATAATAACTGACATGATGTCAGTGACATCTATTCGCAATTTATAAGTTTTTTTAAGAAGCGAATAATAAAACGAACTAGGATTTCATTATACAGTCAAATAAGTTCAAAAGCAAAAATTCTTCGCATCACAAAAAAATGTGGTTTTTTGTTTTATACATTAAAATGAACGTGACCATAATTTTAGTAGAATATGTATTTATTCATTAAAGTGGTTTATCGTGTAAATACAAAAAGGTATTTCATTAGTTAATTGCTATCAGTCATTTTCAAGGTAATTATCTTTTTATTTTAAACAGGTTGGTAGTATGCGCCTTGGCTATAGAACTTTAAGCCAAGGCTGAAATTCTTGGACTAAATGACGTAAGCAAATTAGGCTTCAAGTTTTTTGCAATAATTAGTTACATTACTAGAAAGTAGAAACGCCAATAATGAAAATAAAGCTAGGGTTAAATTTTCGTGTATTAAAAACGGAGAAAATGTGCGCATTAACCTATTGTAAATATATATTTTTTGCGAATAAATATTGCGTATTTGTTATATTAATCCTATGATTGATGCGATATGTTCGGCGGAGATTTAATATACATTTTTCATTTCTGTTATCTTGACAGACTCAAGTAATCCATATGTAAAGTTACTTTTTTTTGTCTTTAATACGTCACATCCTATGCGTTTAATTTTATGTATTTTCCATTAATATAATGTCGAGTTTATACAGGATAGCGCAGTGGCAGATGGCGATTAAACTTATTGCGTGCGAAGGACCGGGGGCTATCAAAGCCCGCCCGGCCGTTGCCCTCACTGCTCTACCTTTTTTACATCTGCAGCTTTTGAATTATTCCTCGTTTTCAGATTAGACAGGTTAATAACATGAAAGTCATGACTAGTACTTTTAATACACAAACTTATCCGTTACACTTTATTATTATGTTTCTGCTATACACTATCTAATGTACGTTCTAAATTTTTAATACTGTTGTAAAATAATATACATATTGATAAGTATTTTTTGGCATAATATTTATCAAAACAAGATTTCCCTAAATGATGGATTTTCATTTATCTGAATGAATAATCTTGGCATACGATAAACCATTTCCAAATACACGATAAGTTTTAGGAAGAGAACGCTAAGTAATAATCATAATTCACAATGTTAGTAGTATGAAATAGTTTTTATAAAAGTAATAGTTGTATGTACAAGAACTTGTGTAATAAAAATCCAAAGAGATAGTATTGTTGTCCATATTATTTGAAACGAACACCTGAACTCTGAAGTTCTGTTTTGTATAAGCTCTACAAGTTTGTTTTTATATTGAAGTAGGTTCATCATTATAAAACACTATTATAGCATCGTTCTTTATTATGGAGTCGTAAACATAAACATTATTCTACTTTCACGAATATCGACGTTTAGGATTGTTTATATCGAGTAAATGGAGCATGGCTCTGAGAGTAAATATATCTTTACGAAAAAGAATTCTTAAGATTCAGTCAACCGGTAGGTCTTTGAACTTAATTTAAAGCAGTTTTTTCTCCAAATCTCGTTCGGCTCCACAGCTGTCGGTCTCACGCTAACTTTAATTGGGGATGAGCGCAGGTAGACTTTCCGTTCTTTTGTGAATGGCCAATATCTCGAGTTCATGATCCGATGATTTAGGTGGACCGTTACATTTCGAAGATTTATAACTTTACCTGAGTTTTGGGACGATTTATTGTGTGTAAATATGTAATAGTATGGTTATATATTCCTTACCTATATGAGCCAAATCGATAATGGGTATTTCGCAGCGTGAGAGCAGGGTCTCCTCTTGTGGGGCCGCCATCGTCGTCGCCTGCTGTTGTAGATCTGTTATCTTCGGAGTCGTCCAACAAACTCGCGCCTTATCACTCGACTCCAGGTGGGTAATTAGCAATTAGCGATCGTGACACCGAACGATAATATAGGATAGGAATACGATACTGATAAGCACTTAGTACACCGTCAGAAACCGAACGTTAAAGTTTATTAAAGTTGTGAATGGTCTTTTGATTACCCCTGGTATAGAAGCGTTCAGAACTCATTTGCATAACCTTGTAGTTCCTGCTCGAGGCGTTCAGCGATCTGACGTAGCAGCAATAAGCTATACTGACTTGACACATTAAAAATTGCTTTTTGTGGCTCTCTCACAGTAAGTATGCGTAGGACTCGTTGCTCCCGCGTGTGCGACCCGACGGCGTCGCGCGCCCCCCGTCCCTAGTGAGTTTCGAATGTCTTCGTTCTAACAAACTGGCTCACCGTGTGCGGTGAGCGTTACCCTGGTGTCAATGTGAGCTCTCACTTATATATCATCGCGTGGACTTTCGCAACCGAACGGCGTGTCGAAACAGCTCGCCTTGAACACTAAGAGAAAGCGTGGAAGACGTGTACACTGTTTAACGTACAGAATCAGACTGACGCGAATGCGCCGCACTCCGCAGACCTCGTACACTCACCGACTGACGGACTGACTCATGCGACCGTTTGTCGCTCACTTCGCGTGACTATCCGACACCGATAATAAACCAGATATGTTATACCACACTTTATTTGTATGCGACAAATTCTCATGGGGATTTATGAAATACAATAAACAGGTTTTTGTATGTAATACATTTAATACGATGTTTTGAATGCCATTGCACTTACCATATGGTAGTGAATGTTTGTAATCGCCGTGCCATATGATTGGTACAGCGCCATCTATTTTAGATTGCGAAGATACGAACAAAAAGTATAGAAAATGAGATGAGATTTATTTATTTATAGCGAATTAATTTACAGTAGCATGTGATCATTTGAGGCACCGTTCAAAATAAGAAGAGCCGACATATCCGCCGCGCATTGCCCTCTGCACGTGTTGTTCGAAGAGTCGTCGATTGCTTTGTAGTTCATCAGCCGCTTCTTTATTCAGTGGGTCTTCAGGATTTGGTTCCTATAAAACAGAACCAAAAGCTTTAAAACTAATAGTAATAGTAACATAATTAATTATTTATTTGTCCCTTCCATAACAATAAATGTCATTAAATTATACTCATTAGTCATTACCCTGTGTCAAAGATACAATGTTATTTGTGTAAAGAAATTTTATTTGGATATCCTTATTTAAAAAAATAGCAATAACGAAGATATGAAAAATAAGTATATATAATACTTTTTTCATATGATGAAATCTATAAAGTATAACTGGTATTTGATATAATCTACTACTCTGAATTCATAATAACTAATTTTCTATTATGTTGAATACACCTAACACTTATGTAAAATTAGAATGACTGAAATTGTTGTGTAGTTTTTGATAAAAAAACAATACATACTGTAATTTTTATATCATAAGAATAATCTTAGTGTTTTACATAATATGCTCCCTAACAAATTATTACAATTCCATAATAATTGTAATATATCTATAACAAACATAAATGTCTGAATGTTTACATATTATACATTACTGAATAACAGACAATAGTTATACTTTTATTGGTTCTCATAATTATATGAACGGTTGTAATCATGAAAAACTAATAATATCATTCATCTAGTGTACACAAAGCAACTCAAGATGCAAATTGTATCTGCATATTGTCTTAATAAATTATTTATTACTTTATTTTAATCAGATATGTTGTAAGAGGAAGTGTGTACTGTATATCATATACATGTAACTTATAAATAAAATGAACACTAGAAGGAACAAAGGAACTTACCAAGAATAGATACTGCAACCCGTATACTATTGAGTTGACTGTGAGAACTGGTTTCCAATCTTCTCGGAGTATATTCAAGCAAACATTCCCTTCCAAGTCTATGTTTGGGTGGTATACAGCTGTCTCACACTTAACTTTAGGTGGTTCATGGGGATAGTTTGGTCCTACCTACATATTAAATAAATGTAGCTAGAAATGTGTAAACAAAGTATAATATAACATTAGATATGATATGAAAGTTACCTTAAAGCTAAATACAAATCTTCCTCCTCTGTAAAAACCTTCATCGGGACAAATGATCAATTTGAAATTAAGTAAATCATCTGGGTCTGGAAATTCTGTGCTACAAGTTTTAGGCAGGTTCAGTTCATTTAAATCTAAAAACAAGAATATAATATAAAATTATTAAAATATTCTGAACAGTTGTAAACATTATTGATTTAATTATAAGTGATGGTTACAAGATATTGTAACAATAATAATATTTAAATAGTTTTATTTTTCTTTTGTATTTGATAAGTTTAGATTACCTTTTGTGATTCGTAATTGAGCCGCCGATGCTTTCTTTTGTGAACCGCCTGCTCTTGCTGAACCTTCTTCATCTTTTTTTTGTTGTTTTAAGGAAAACAGTTTAATCATTGTCCTAATTCGATGAAAATTAGAAATTGATTTGGATAAAACCTATTTTGACAGATGGCTGACGTCTGAACTTCAATCAAATCAAACTTCAATTCTAAAAGGATAAGAAATTCACAGAGTATTAAAAATATTTTAATAAAATGTGGTTGTCTATGAGCAAATTTTTTATATTCATGTATTTAATTTTGGTTGGTTGTTTAAATATGGCCTTCATCGTAGCCTTAAAATATGCAAAGACGTGCACAATATATTCATGTATTAATTTTAAGCAGACTGTTTATTTTACCTACGATTCAATAACATGTTGTTTTGATATCTGTTTCTTTGGGTTTTGTAGAAAATTATTTGGTTGTGCTAGTTAAAAAATGAATATTTTGTAAAATATGTATCACCAAAGAAGTCAAATATTTATTTTCATCTACATTAAAAACCCCTAAAGATATTGTATGTTTTATATTTATTTCAAATAGATTTTTTTTGACAGTTGCATTTTTGTACGGTGAACTCGTAAAGGAAAATTGTCTTTGGCATCACAGTAAATTTTCGCTTGCTCTGATAATAAATGCATTATTATAATAGTTTTTTTTATATGAGTTAAAGTTAGCTTATACTCTAATGATGCAGACAATATACATACTGTTCAAATAAAAATCGTAATATTTGATTCTTTTAAAAATGGCTAGCGAAGATGTTATTGAGTTGGGATCTTCTGATGATGACGCCGAACCAGCTCCAAAGAAGGTAGTAATTGTATTTAAATTATAACTGAAATATATCGTAGTTATAATAACTTAAAATTTACAATAAATTTCTTAATTTATTTTTTAATTACAGAGAAAACCGATGCCCAATGCCATGGTTGTAATTCCGAATAAGCCTGGTTTAACTATAAAACCATCTCAACCAAATCCGTTTCGTAAACATAAGGATATTTTAGGTAAACCGATTATTGTTAATAAATCGGTTAATAATATGAACACAAATGTTCATAAGAAAAAAGTAGTGACTAGGTCTCTCCAATCTCAACATAAAAATTATGCTACTACAAAAATTGTGAATACTGCAATACCCATACAAAACAGGTTCGTAAACCCTTTGAGTATTGCAAAGAATATATTTAACAATCAAGTACCAATACCTAAACCACAAACAAAAGGTTTAAAGAAACAAACAGAAGCTAAAGGTTCAAGCCTCTTAAATAATTTACCTAAGGGTATTACTATTAAATTAGTACAGAATTCTTGTCCTCCTTTAGTTAATCAAGTCAAAAATAGGACACCCCAAAGTTCTGGAGATGTATTGACTGTTGAAATAGACGATGAGGATATATCCGAAACGTCAACATCAAGCCCACAGTGGTATATAAGACCAGAGGATCAAGTAGATGAGGATTTAAAGAAAATTGAAGGTAGTGAGCTTAAAGTAGAACCTTCAATACAAGAACAGAATAACAAAGAGCCTGACAAATCACAGTATGTTGAAATCACAATAGAAGATAGCCCTTTGAAGCCTCAAACAAAGAACCGGGACAGTGAAATTGGTAAAGAGCTGGCGATTACAATAGAAGACAGTCCCGCAAAAACACCATATAAGTCTAATAATCGGGACGGTGATTTTGTAAACAGGAATATCAAAGAACCTCAGAGTAAGAAGAAATTAGATTATCCCAAAGAAAACAATGAGGAGAGACAGGTTGTTGAAATAGAAATAGATCTTATGGATACAAGTCATTCTAAAATACAGGAAAATGAGGATAGCACTGAAAAATGTGAAGATACTGATGCCAAAAATGAAACACAAAAATCTAAAGAAATTGATGTATCAGCTATTGGCAATAAAACAGAGTGTAATGAGGCTAAAACAAATAATTCTAAGAATACTATTGAAAGTAAAGAAGGCCCAGAAATATGCAATGCTGAATTCCATCCCGTGTATCAGAATTTCATTGACATTTGTTTCGAACTAGAAAACTCCGATGATATGAAAAAGATAGTTGACAAGAAAATTAAAGCTTACTACAAACAGTGTCCAAATGAATATGTTGAGTCTGCTGATTTTATAGATATGGTCTCCACAAAAATAGTCGCGATGAAGGCCAGTCCAGAAAAAATGTATTTGTATATAAAAGATGTTGTTGATGAACTTAACTTACAAAGAAAAATGGCTAAATCTGCATGTCCGTTAACTAAGGATGACACTCAACAAGGTAAAATCATCAATTATACCATTTATATATGTAGTTATAGATATAACTTGCATACAATAGAAACACATTAATATATAAACAGATTCATAGGTTGAAACATCCATAAAAAATAGTATATTATATAAAGCATGATTATAAAAATTATAATACAATATTCATGTTATGAGCAATTTTACACTAAAAATTATGTACATGACACTTCTTTTTATAGAGGACTAGTTGTTAATTCCCCATTTTTGGCATGTCCAAAAATATCTAATGCAACTTCATTTTATAAAATTAACAGTAAACTGATGTAATGATACTTATACAACTATTATCTGTCATAATTATGTGGATTGGATGCACATATTACATTTGACAACATTACTTGTACATTGTACAATGATTTAAGTGTTTAACTCCTGGTATTTCACAAATGTAAAAAAATTTGTTGTTTGAAAACTGATCCACTGTTTTCCCAAATTTTATTAAATTTTATTGAATAATTGACAAGTTTCAACATTTGACAAGATCTTAATGTGACATAATTTGTACAATCTCTTTATATACATTCCACATATTTAGAGTTTAGATGAAGATGTTAAGAATTATTGAAAAACTGATCTAGATACAAATTTCTTTGATAAATTGATTATAGTGTTGTCCCCATAATAAAAGAAGAAATGTATAAATAAAAAAATACCTGATTCACCTTATATTTTTGCATAATATGTTATTTATCCCATAAAAGTTTTCCTTTTTTTTATAGACATCAGAGATAATACTTATTAACAAGAGGGCAATAAATAAAATATATAGGGATATTTCTTAAAACCATTATATTCAAATATTATATATAATTATTTTTCACATAAAACACAATTGACTAATAATTTGATTTTGGTTCATGAACCTTAAATAGGTTTTTCGTATAATATATTAAAAGACAAAAATAGGTTTGTCAAAAAAATGTGATTTTTTGTAAAATTTTTAGTTTTGTTAATTTTATTTAACTCAAAATGTTCAGGTCTTTTAAAATAAAACACGTTAAACTATATTAAAAAGGTTAGATATTCTTATTAATTTTATTAAATTAAGAATAATCTTTTAATTCTTACCAGAAAATATCATTACTTTATATATAATAAAATGAATAAGGCTATATTATTTTAAATTTCAATGTATGTAATTTCAATGTATAATTTACAGATTTCAATGTATAATTTACAGATCCATCAAATACCTTACCTGCTGAATCTGAGCATGTTGTGGTGTCTACCAAGAAAATGATGCAAATTCGAAAATTGGAGAAGACTATCAAGAAATTACATAGAGCAATACAGAAACTCGAAGAGCAAGTTGTTGACTTTGATGATGAAGAGGATTCAGTATATTTATTGACTGAAAGGTACATAAGGAATTCTATGAAGAATGGTTTGATAATTATTGGTAATGTTTCTTACAAATTAAATACATATATTTAATTTTAGATACAAGGAACGCATGGTACGAGTTCATAAGAAGTTTTGTCAGCTCACCAACACGAAGATGCCATCAGAACCAAGGATACACATTGAATCAAGACCTGGCCGTCCTACAGGTCCGGCAAAAAGACTTGAGAAGTGGATCAATAAGAAAGTGCCCATTGGAGCCCCATTACCATTCCCAGATTTTCATGATGTACTGCGTTGTGTACGTGACGCCAATGATGATGATGGACTGAGAATGAATGAATATGAAATTATGGAGGAAGGTTAGTTTCTACTTTATATTATTTGGGTCGATGATACGATTTCAATAACATGCCTACAAACCTTTCAATAATGTTTCACCTCCAGTTGAATGCTTAGTAAAACTTTATGAAATCTTTCCGGTGATAGATGGGTTAAAATCTCTACTTAAAAAGTACTCTTAAGAATCTATCAAAGGTATACAGATAATTTTATCCCAAATAGTAATATTTCATTTTCTATGCTTCAAATTTTTTTTCCTTTTAACTTTTTTAATAATAATATAATTTCTGAAATTATTTAAAAATTTTACAAAACGAGATGTTTTTTAGTGTTAAAATTTTGTGTTTTAGCAAGAGATTTGTTTATAAGATGTGGCAAGAAACTTCAAAGACGGCGACAAGAGAATGAATGGAGATTAGCTGTGTCAAGGATTAATCAAGTATTGGATCCCGCAGACGAAAATACCGATTTGAAGAAACGGCTAGAAGAAAACAAAACTTTAGCTACATCTAAAGAATTAGAACTATTTAATAAGTAAGAAATGTAAAATAACCGCATCATGAAATATATGGTTTTGATCTAAACTTAATACCTTAATACTCATTGTTTTTCAGATTTGCAGACAAACAAAATCAATTGAAACTAGAAGCCGTTGAAATTGGTGATAAAGAAGCAGAAGAGTCACCATTGGAGAGCGATGATGAAGAAGAAGAGGTTGAAAGTAAACATTCTGCCGAAGAAAAACAGAAGAGAAAAGAAAAGATTAAGAAGTTGCTACAGGAAAAAGACACAAAGACTTTAGAAGAAGAAAAAGACGTTGATATAAAAGAAAAAGATAACACGGGAGAGGAATCTGCTGAAAAACAAGACAAAATTGATAAGAATGAAGACAAACACGTCACAGAAATTAATCAAGAATCTAAAGAACAAAATGAAACTAAAAATGAAGACCCAAATAGTGAAGTTATTGAAGAAAATATTGATAATATAGAGCAAGTAGATGACGGGAGTGAGAGTGATCAAGTTGAATCCGATGTTGATGAATTACTTTTATATCAGAAATCACGTAACTGTTATGACGACGAAGGAAATAGTTCGGTTTCGGAATCCTCTGATTCTGAAATCCCAATCGCTATTTCAGACACATCAGAATCAGAGAGCGAATTGGAGAATGATAAGAAAATGAGTGACATAATCAGCATTGAAGATTCTAGTTACTCGGAGTCAGAATCTACTTACGATAGATTAACTTATACAAAAAATGATGACAATTTAAATAATGTTAATCGTGAAATCGAATATTCATGTATTGGAACGCCAAACGCCAAGTCAACAATGGATGAGTCCAAACAAAATGAAGTTGTTCTTGATGAAGACGTTCTTTTGGAGTCATCAGACGAGGAATCAAATAAAGATGTGACTTCAGAAATCGGTGATACTTGTATTAATTTAAAAGATGATAATATATCGATCTCAGAAACAACTGTAGATGGGGAAAGTATGGAACAAGATATTAGTATTAAAGAAATAAATGATACATTTGAAAATAACAATGAATTGAAGGCTAATGTGGCAAACTCAGTAAGTAGTGAAAGTGAATTGATGATACAAGAATGCTCGGAGAAAGTAGGGAGCGAGGTTTTAAACATTGTTCATGCAGAAGAATCTCCAGAATCGGTTGAAATGAAAAATGTACCAGATGAAAATTCAATAGTCCTAATGGAAACTGACATTAATGAGGAAAAAGGGCAGTTTGAGAATTGTAGCAGTTTAGCGACCAAAGAGGTTGATAGTCAAGGTGAGAAAATATCAGAAACAGTGCAGCCAATAAGTTGAATGTTAAATAAATAGGATAATAATATTGCTAGTGTAGACTTATAATAAACAAAAATGTATATGTATTTAATGTATAAAATGAATCAAAAGACTTAAACTTGTGTTATATGTCTATTATGCTGAATTTAGAGTTTAGTTACTTAGCAGGCATTTAGTTGTGGATGTAAGATGATTTAAAAAGTAGTTATGTATATATTGAGTATATAGTTCTAAATAATTTACTGATTTCAATGAGACTTGATCTCAATCAAATAGTTTAAGGAAGTATGTTTTAAAATTAATTGTGATTAACAGCTGGTCCATTGATGAATAAATGGTGAAATTATGTTATGATTGTCATAAAAATATTTCTGAACATATAATTTAGAGATTCATATGATAAGTTATTTATTCTGAAAGTTGTTGTGTGTTTAATTTAACTTTTTAAATAAATACTTCAGTTTGCATTTCCCATTCCAAACCAACTGTTTTGGCCGTTTGGTTTTTCCATAGTTAATGTTTAGTAATGTTATATTTTACACTGTAATTCTAAATTCAATAAGAGTGATTTTGCTGTGATCAAATTGTTGATCGATAAAATTAATAAATTTGTATATTTAACTTGTGAAATAAATATATCACGAAAGAACGATGGAAAAAATACTTGTCGAAATAAATCATCGGAATTTATTGTCGACTAACTCTTTACCTTGCTTATACATACATACTACATATATACATACTTTGATATTTTTTAGCTTTCATATGATAGACACAATACTTCTTTTAGTTTAACTTTCTATCATATACATATTTTTGTATGTAATAGTGAGAACGCTTCGGATGCGGTTTGACGATTGAAACTTATGGTAAGGGAATATAATAAATGACTGAATTTTATAGGGTACAGTTTGAATAATAATACTGTTTGAGTGAGGAATATCCGAGATGAAGGTAATAGTTTGATATAGTGATTTTGGCATAACAATATGAAAGTCGTCACAACATTTATTTACAATATTTACAAAGATCTTAAGTACATAACTGTATAACTAGTTGAAACATATCGGTCCGACGTTGAATGAGAATTCGTGTTCAGCGTCGAGGAATGATAGCGGTTGGAAGTCAATGATCGGTAACTTCTCAGTCCGTGATATCTTTACTGCAAGCACTATTTGTCCCTTGCCATCCTGAAAAAATATAAAATTGTACAATTTTGTTATATAACCTTTGATGCGATTGGATTAATTTTATGCTATTCTTGTCTTTATAGAGAAATTTTGGTTGTATCACACAATTGTATCGGATGTATTGTTTGTCAATAAGACTTCTCCGTGTAGCTTCTGCAACAGTCCAAGACTCGGTGGTACAAAGCATTATATTGTAAATAATTAAACATAGTTGCAAAACTGTGTGATATTTTTTAACAGGTAGAGGTAAGATAAATAAATTGAATCTAGAGATTCCAGCAGCTAGGAAATTCAGTTTACATATAGCAATTTAATAAAAATAGACCGTCAATGTGAAAATGGTCCGTGTAATAAATTATAAATGTACCTATATAAAATATATGAGCCATGTATGATTAACGGTTAAAGAATATTATTTATATTATAAATATCAAAGTAAGTGAAGATTTTTAGAAGTTTTGTTGCTCTTCCCTGCAAAAACTTAAAATATTCGATGGCACATAACCGATTACGGTGACTTATTATAAAGACATCAACATAAGTCTGGCTGATTTATCCTGAATTTTAGTACAGTTATCCCGAAGATAACTAATTTAATCAAGGAATAGGAGTTTTATTGTATATTCACGTCGATACAGGTCCACCACTGGTTTACAGTACTCATCCAAGTTTTTCAATAATTTACAAGTTTATAAGCAGAAAGAAAGTATAAAGAATGTGATGATTTAGACTACTTAGATTGATTGAGACAGCTTTACTTAACTTTAAAATTATGTTTTCAAGGAGTATAAATGATATTGAATACCTAATAGGCGATTATCGATTATCACCTGTTCAATTATAATTTAACAATGTTTGTGTATGTCCGATGGATTACTACTAAAAAAGTCATTTGACGCAAACTATGGATGTCGTTGCCGGTTTGTTTCTATATAGATAGATTTAACTTACCTACTGTGTACATGACTCTTATACACGCAATAAATAGATAGACATATTTGTCTGGCCAAGAAAATTTATAATTGTTTTTTAATTTTGTAAACCATAAGGTTATGTTTCATAACATCATCGATTTTTGAATGAAATTATAATAAGAAATATTTAAAAATCCAATTCTCAAGTACGGAGAAATATAATTACGTTATTTTTATTCACTTCACAATGTTTGGGACCTCCAGCAACCGACGTATCCTTTCGAAGGAAAAGTTGAATAGAAGTCCCATGAGAATTCCGTGTTGTTAATGATACTATGATACGTACTACAACCCTTTAGCTCCCGAAGGGATTTTCATAAATTAAATTATTTGTGTGCTCACACAAACCCCTGCCTATAATATGATGTATCACCATACGGACTAAATAATTATTTCTAGGTTTTTTGGAATATATGAAAGGAAAAATAACGTTAGAGTTATATTGGAGTCTCGGTAAATTATGTGATTAAATACTTGCTACCGAAAGACAAGATGTAAATTAAAAATTGCATATCAATGATTAAAGTCTTTTGTATAGTATTGGAATAGACCTGTAAGTGACATCATACCTAAGTCGTATGTCGTACGTATGTTATACGTTACTTCATGATATTTTAAGATTCATAGACTGATTTTCGACATCATGTGTATACATAGATTACATGTATAAAACAAATTTTAGTAATGGTGTTGAAAATATTACCTTGCAATCATCCTTCATTATCTGGGGCTCCTTAAACTCAAAATTGTTTTGACCGAACAATTTTATTTTTTTATTTCTTATGAGATCCACGGGAATGTCGGATCTGGAAAAACAAGGAAAATAAACTTGTGCATCTGACATATGCTTAGGTCTACATGAATTTTATTATAAGAAAATAATTGATGTCTTTTTTTCATTAACGTGTACCTTTGGGGTGCAACTGTTTTGACACATGTGTAAGTGAAATTTTGCCTTGCACTAGTTGATAGCAATCGTAAGAAACGCATTTGTATGAAGCCAGAACCTTCGCTGTCGTAATTTATCTGAAATGTCAAAAGATACTTTAGAATACATATACGGAAACATATTATTTTTATTAATAATAATTAATTAGGAATTTCTATTTACCCGAAATCCACCATCAAGTTGAGAGAACTTCTGTCCTGATAAATCGTAATATACAGCTGCAGCATCGACATTTTCTGGGTACAAACAGGTGCTTTGGCCATCGCAAAACACTTTAATAGGGCGACCAGAACCCCCACGAGCATCTATCCAGTAGAAACCTAACAAAATATTTTGATCGAATTAAACTTATTTTGCCATTTATAAAACATTATTTTAATATTTTAAACTGATGTTTAATATAACATTAATTAACGACATGGGTATGTAGCGAAGTCCATTTTTTAACGTCTCATTGCGTTTCCTATTCCAAGTTCTTTTATTATGTGTAACTAAAAACTTATTCCAATAATTGTAAAATAATATTTGAATCTATAAGGGTTTTCTTAATTTTTTAATTACCATCAGTTAAATTAGCATGAGATATTCGCAAGTCTCTGCACGAGAGCGCTGGGTTGGAGCGAGTACCACGCGGTCGACGAGCAGCATCCAGCGTTCCACGAGCTGCCAATACGCCAGCCATGATCTCACGAGCCCATTCGATCTCCTCTTCTGGAAATGATTGTTGACTCATAAATATATTTGAAAATTTTGGTATAACTTAGTTAATTTTCTCTAAAATATGTAATTTTTGTTGTTTATTGTATACTAGCTTTCCGCCCGCAGCTTCGCCCGCGTGGAGTTCGGTTATATCGCGTTTCCAAGAGAACGTTTCAAAAGTCTGGGATAAAAACTATCCTATGTTCTTTCTCAAGGTCAACTCTATCTCAGTACCAAATTTCATTAAAATCAGTTCAGTGGTTTAGGCGTGAAAGAGTAACAGACAGACAGACAGACAGACAGACAGACAGACAGACAGAGTTACTTTCGCATTTATAATATTAGTAGGGATACCTTCATAATTATCTTCAGTAGCGGTTTCCATAGATTCAGTTTCAATACTACGCCTTCGTCTGCTGGACATGAATAGATCAGAAGGTAGTTGAGGCATTGGCGCGGGAGGGCCTGGAGGTCCTGGGGCGCCAGGAGGTCCGGGGAGACCGGGGCGACCTTCAGGTCCTGCCGTGCCTTTTGGGCCCACGGGACCCTCAAGTCCAGCCAGCCCAGCTGGTCCCATATCTCCTTTGGGTCCGGGAGGCCCCACTGGACCCTAAAATTAATTGGAATAAAATTTAATTGTATTTAATTCTTTCCGTATTTAATTTTATTATATTATCGCACTATCTTGCAGTGTTACACTTGAACAACTTGTTTAGTTCTAACCCACAAAGTAGGTAAGTATATAGCTATTGTGTTGAAATGACGCTTGATGCAAAAATGGTACTGATGTTCCTCTTTACAACTCATATTTACTCTTATATAATTCTCTAATTGCAATAATAGTTGCGGGGTAGTAAAATCTACAAAATATATATCACAGATACTCACTGTGTCTCCTTTCGGCCCCATAGGGCCCATTGGACCTGTTGGTCCCTGTTTTCCAATCTCGCCTTGGTCTCCTTTAACACCAATATTACCCGTGTCACCAGTATGACCTTTCGGTCCCCTATTCCCCTTTTCTCCTTTAAGACCTTGTTGACCGGGAGATCCGTTAGGTCCTGGTACACCCATGGGTCCCATAACACCAGGTGCTCCAACATCTCCCTATTGATGTGTATATTATCAGTAAAATTATAATTTTTTGTAGTACGTATATGTATAAATGAATGTATATAAATTGTTATTAAATGACATTTAAATTATAATTAC